GCTTCCCTTTCTCCACGTCCTAGCCAACACTCTTTATTTCTTGTCTTTTTGATAACAGCCACTCTAACAGGTATGAGGTGATATCTCGTTGTGGTTTTAATTCGCATTTCCCTGATGGTTAGTGATGTTGAACATCATTTCATGTCTGCTGACCATCTGTATGTTTTCTCTAAAAAAATATCTATTCAGGTCCTCTGCCCATTTTTTAATCAGCTTGAATTTTTTTGATATTGAGTTTATGAGTTCTTTATATATTTTGGATGTTAACCCCTTATCAGATACATCATTTGTGAATATCTTCTCCCACTTGCAGGTTGCCTTTTCCTTGATGTTTGATGGTTCCCTTCATTATCTGACACTGACACATTTTGAAAAGGCCAGTTACCTGGATGTTTTCTCATGAGTAGATTCAAGTTACGCATTTTGGGCAGGAATATTACATACGTGATGCTATATCTTCTTCAAAGCACTGCATTATGAGGCAGATGATGTCAGTTTGTTCATTATTGGTGATGCTAACTTTGAAGGCTGTTCTACTTTTTGAAATGAATTAACAATCTGTGGGAGGTACTGTGAGTCTGTGTAAATATCCTGTTCCCCCACAAATGTTTTACCCAATGGTTTTAATCCCTTGATGATTCTCCTGTGAATCAATTATTACCATGGTGGTTGCAAAAAGCAGCCAGAATTTACTTATGGGTATAATGCAAATGTTAAAGGAATTCAATCTATATCACTTATGGATATATTACCACATGGAAGAGGTCATGAGCTCTCTACCCTTGTTGGCTTTCCCGTGGAATAATTCCTGCCCTCTCACCTGTATTTAAACCACCTGGTGATTATTCTTAGCTCTGATAAATCTCTGATTTAACATCCAAAGATCAGTTTACTTGGCCTCTCCACATGTGCCCACTCCTTTAGCCTCATCTCTCACTGCTGCTTTTCCTGCTGGCTTTGTACTCCAGCAGTGTTTAGTTCAGAATCATGTTTCTCATATCTGTGTGTTTTTGCACAAGCAACCCCACCCCAGCACCTGCAATTAATTCTTTGCTCCCTACTTGCCCACCTTGTCTGCTTGATGAACTCCTACACATTCCTTCAAGACCAAACTAAGGCATATCCTTTGTGAAATCTTCACAGGCAAAGTGAGTTGCTCCTTTCTCTATGCTTCCATCCTATTTTATATATGTGTCTGTTGTTGTAGGTTCATGCTATATTATAATTACTTGTTTTCTTTCTAAACGGGTTATATCTTAATTATCTTTGTAGCCCCAGAGTTTATACTGTTCTTAACACATGGGAGATTTTTCAATGTAAGTGTTTGTTGATGAATAACTAAATCATTTTGGTCTCAAAAGTTTTCCTTTTGCTGTTCCATTTTGGAAACATATCTAAGAATATTTTTCTAAATTATCCTTTACTGCTTTTTTTTTAAATTTAATTTTATTATGTTATGTTAGTCACCACACAATACATCATTAGTGTCTGATGTAGTGATCCATGATTCACTATTTTCGTATAACACCCAGTGCTCCATGCAGTACATGCCCTCCTTAAAACCCATCACCAGGCTAACCTATCCCCCCACCACCCCTCCCCTCTAAAACCCTCAGTTTGTTTCTTGGAGTCCACAGTCTCTCATGGTTCGTGCCCCCTCCGATTTCCTCCCCTTCATTTCTCCTTTACTACTCTTACCTATCTTGCAAGATGGTGGGTAAAAAGGCTGAGAAGAAACCTGAATCCAAAGCTGATCCTGGTGGCAAGGTTAAGAAGGGTAACCTCAAGGCTGTAACACCAAAGAAGGAGAAATCCTGTCCTAGTCAGAGGAATTGGCAGATATTCCTGATCAGTTATGTATTCCAGAAAGACAATATACAAAAGGAAGTATTCAGCAGCTAAACTCTGGGCTGAGAAGAAAAAGAGAAGGTTCTTGCTACTGTCACTAAACCAGTTGGTGGTGACAAGAACGGTGGTACCCAAGTGGTTAAACTTCATAAAGTGCCTAGGTATCATCCAACTGAAGATGCACCTTGAAAGATGCACTGTGTGCTGAGGCACAGTAAAAAACCTGGCAGGCAGCATGTGAGAAAACTGTGAGCAAGTATCACTCCTGGGACCATTCTGATCATCCTCACTGGGTACCACAGAGGCAAGAGGCTGGTTTCCCTGAAGCAACTGAGCAGTGGCTTGCTACTTGTGACTGGACCTCTGGCCCTCAGTTGAGTTTCTCTGTGTAGAACACACCAGAAATTTGTCATTGCCACCTCCACCAAAATTGATCTCAACAGTGTGAAAATCCCAAAACACCTCATTGATACTTACTTCAAGAAGAAGCTGTGTAAACCCGTATCAGAAAGGTGAGATCTTCAACATAGAGAAGGAGAAATATGAGATCACACAGCAGTGCAAGGCTGATCAGAAAGCTGTGGACTTGCAAATTCTGCCAAAAATCAAAGCTGTTCCTCAGCTTCAGGGCTATCTATCTACACACTGTGTTTTCTCTCACAAATGGAGTTTATCCTCACAAATTGGTGTTCTAAATTTCTCACAAAGAACCTAATTAAATAACTTATCCATTAAAAAAATAAATTATCTTTTACTTACTTCCATTAAGGTTTTAGGTTAGTAGTTTTCAACTCTACCCATTCAACACTACAGCATCCTCATCAAATCATCAGTTTTATTGTCTTTATTTTACTTTATGTGAAATTAATTTCAATTATTTCAGTATTCATTATATAACACACAAGTTCTAGAAAATAAGCTTTTCTTTCTCTCTTCTTATAAACAAATAATCCAGCTCATTCTTTGTCTAGCAAATAATATCAGTTCTGATGCTTTTAAAATCCAAAGGAGATATGTGCGTGTTTGCAATTGTGTGTTTGTATACATGCAGTATAAGCCAGGGGAAAGAGACAGAAAAGCAGAAAAGTAATTACCAATTGACAAAAGAAGGCAAAATGCTATGGACCATGAAGAAATTATGAAAACTGAGGTTTTCTGAAACTGGTGAGATACCCAAGTTTGGGACAGAAGATAAAGTTTGAAAATACCTAATCTCTCTTTTTACATTTAGGTAAAGCTAATCATTAGGATGTTAATATTTTAGACACTTTTCAAGTCTTATGAAAATGTTTTACAAAGAAGTAACTGAATATTACAAGAATTTTACTCAACTGTTTCATTCTAAGAAATTGATTCATTATAAACAGTATACCTGCTGATATAAGATAGTTGATGTTCTGCCACAATTTATTATTTTCAGTGGTTATAGAGTTAGGCTTAACTTTACTACAGAATCTAAACACTCTCCTTAAATAGACCTATATTTTATACTGGGCTGAAACAATATTGCCTATAAGTGGTTAGAGCTATACAAAAATGAAAGATCCAGCAGGGGACTGTTTTGAATAAAAAGTCTTCAAAATATAAGAACAGAATCATTGCTTCTTCCCCACTTCCTCTCTCCATGTTTCTTGGTGTTAACATGTAAAGTGGCATTTAAAAAAACATATGGGGTTTATAATGGAAATATTAGATGACTGCAAACTGCATCACTGAGATGACAAATGCTTGAAGACAGTGGACCTCAACTGGGGGTGGGGAGTAGGGATTTTGCCCCCCAGGGAATTTTTGGCAATGTCTGGAGACTCTCTCTTTTAATTAATAATTTTTTTTCTACCAGTGGGGTGCTACTGCTGACATTTAGTGGGTAGAGATCAGGGATGCTGCTAGACATCCTTCAATGCACAGGACAGCCTCCCACAACAAAGACTTATCCAAATGTCAATAGTGCTGCCAAATCCTGCTCTAAGAGAAAATGTCCAATGCTGTCTTTCACAACTGACGATAGGAATTATGGACTAAGCTTGTAAGCTGCGCATAAGCCACTTATATATCTAGTACACGGAGCTCTGGTCTCCTTTGGAATTATAATTTGTTTGGGAATGTTTTCTGTTTACTTCCATACGTTTAACATGATTTCCTGTAACTAAAAATATATCCAGAGCACATTAAGAGATTTTCTAGACACTTTATTACTAGTTTTGAATATTAAGAGATCTGCTTTAAAAGATTAGAAACACATCAAAGCATTCACCATACTTTCCACTATATATCAGTAAATGATTATAAATTTAGTCAAGGATCTTTCAAGTATTGTGGTATATTTAACATTTTAAACTTAAATGGTTTTGATATTTTTCAGTGCCTACTTTTTAGTGCTTGCATGTGAAAATTAATTTCATTTAGAACCATACACAAATCTCTTTTTACTGAGCTTGTCAAAACTTTAATTTGAGCATTGATACTTCACAATGTGGGAGAAAAATATTAGGAATCTGTATTGGATTGAAAACATAACTTTGGTTTAGGTTTCCAACAACTCTGACCTGACAGATAAAACTTTCTCAATTCCTCTTGCTTAAAATTCAAATAAATCCCCCACCCACAAAACATGTATTCATCTGTTTCCTTCCTTTCACCAGTATATCCTTTTAAATATTGGTTACGTTGCTATAATGTTGTTCTGTACCTTCCTCCCCCAAAGTCTTCCAGCTTGGGTTTCTTGTTCCTTTTTGTCTTCTAACCCATTTTGTCTGACATATTTGTTCTTAATGAGCTTAAATAGTGTTATGAGAAAATCAGTAGGGCACTATTACTGCCTTTATTAACTAATACAAAGAATAATTTAAGACTGATTTTACATGGTGATACTTATCTACATTAGTCTTTTTTTTTTTTCTGTTTTTCATTTCACTTCTCAGTATAGTGGTGGTTAACAGTTGAGGTTTTGGGGCGCCTGGGTGGCTCAGTCGTTAAGCGTCTGCCTTCGGCTAGGGTCATGATCCCAGGGTCCTGGGATCGAGCCCCGCATTGGGCTCCCTGCTCAGCGGGAAGCCTGCTTCTCCTTCTCCCACTCCCCCTGCTTGTGTTCCTGCTCTCACTGTGTCTCTCTCTGTCAAATAAATAAATAAAATCTTAAAAAAAAAAATTTAAAAAAAAAAACAGTTGAGGTTTTGATGTTAGCTGAATCTGTGCTCAAGTTCCACCTCTACTACTTGCTAGCCCTTTGACCCTGGGAAAATGACTTGCCTTTTTCTACACCTCTCTTTCTAGATCATTACATTGGGAATAATGATAGAATCTACCATAAGTGTTTCCGTGAAGAGTAAATGAGATAATGTTGTGATGTTCTTGCACAATAACTACCACACAGCAAGTGCTTAGTAACTATTAGCTATTATTAATATTTCTGTCAGAGGTGCCTGGATGGCTCAGTTGGTTAAGCATCTGACTCTTGGTTTCATCTCAGGGTCGCCCTGCATGGGGTGATTGAGCCCATCAGATTCCATACTCAGTGGGGAGTCTACTCCAGATTCTCTCTCTCTGACCCTCCCTGCCCACACCCCGCTCTCTCTTTCTCTTATCAGTCATATAATAAGCATATTAAGGAACATTTACTACGGTTACTATTAAAGACAAACTTGGGAAGAGAAAGCTATCAGGAAGGATAAGTAACATTTTTTCTGGATTTTTTGTTTAGTTTTTGCCAAAGGATAATATATTTTTAGTTTAAGTAAAAACTTAGTTCTTCATCTGTGAAAGTAATGCTGAGGTTTGTGTTCTTGACATTACTGCAAGATATAAAATTGAGATACGGAATTAAGATGTACACTAAATAAGACTGACTGGAAGGAAAACCAGTCTGATTTATTAAAAACATTTTTTAAAAAACCCAGAAATAAAATAACTAGGATAAAAGTTGTCTATTCTCATTCATTTATGTAAGACTAGAAGGATCTTCATTTGGTGACTAAATAAAAATATTGACAAGAGTCATATCAATTGTGTTATTACATAGAACATATACAAAGATCAGAATAATAAAAACTATATATAAAGTATAATAATATTAATTATAATAACATTAATATAATAGTATCCTAATACATATCTATAATATATAATAAAAACTATATATAAAAACTCATACTATTTTGATTGCATTTACTATGTAAAAACATTGTGCTTGGTATTTTACAAATCATATGAGTCAGAAATGCTTTTGAATAGCCATTTCATAGAGGAGGAATCTGATATATAACAGTCTAATTGCTTTAAATAATAAAACAACTGGGGAGTAAGTGACAAATGGTACAATAAATAATACCATTTAGCTTTGATATAATGTAATCATACCTGTATTACTTTTTCAAGAAATCCATCTCATTCCTTTAACCATCTATTTTATTCTTTATTTCAATTTATAACCAATTCAAAATACCAGAGTGGGGCATTTGGGTGGCTCATCAAGTGTCCAACTCTTGATTTTGGTTCAGGTCATGATCTCAGGATTGTGAGAAGGAGCCCTGCGTCTGGCTCCACTCTGGGCATGACCTGCTTAAGATTCTCTCTCCCTCTCTCGGCCCCTCCCCCCTAAACAAACAAAAAACCCAAACCAACAAACACAAAAACCCAAAATACCAGAGTGGTCCAAGTCCAACTTAATACTTTAGTCAATAACTCTGAATTGAAAGTTTATTTTTTTCCTCAGGGTTAGAATATTTATTACTACTAGCCAACTAGCTTACCATTTTATCTTCAACATTAGGTTCTCAATTATTAGCTCGAGCCTCCTCTATGATGTCACCACTTCTCAGGATTCTCCCTTTCATAAAGGCTTTTGAATTTTAAGATTTTTGATTTTAATTAGTTATACAGTCTTTAAATAAATGCAGTTTATTGTCTTATTGCTCTTGCTTTACTTATAATTCCCATTTGTTCTGTTATCTTGTTTTTTAACTGTTTTGATTTAAGAACTGGTACCTGGTACCTGAATAAACCTAAGGGGGAGTCTCTCTAGAGATGTAGGACAGCAAACCATCCACATTGACAGGAAAGATGAACTTGGAATAAAGGTAATGGAGGTATGGTCTCAATATAATTAGATGTTTTTCACAATGGAAGAAAAGTAGAAAGTAAATTATTTTGTATCATCTCAATTCATTACCCCATAGAAGTTCTCCTGTTTTGTTTTGTTTTTTTATGAAAACAACAATCATATACTGACCTTGGACTCATCTAATCCAAGCTTCTTTAGAGACTTTCTGACATAGTCCAGAAAGGAAGAGGATTTTGAATACATTTTACCCACATGCCGATCACTGCAAAATAAAAGTGAATCACTTTTTAGTTTTTCCAATTTAGAGATGATTTTAAATTCAATCATGAAATATTTTTAAATACTTTGTGTATATGGCACAAGCTTCAGATTTGACAAAGATGTAGTAATATTTTTGTAAACATTTTTAAATTACATATTATAAAATGTTTAAGATCTGCTTCTGAGAATTCCTTCAACATACAGCAGTGGAAAACAATATTTGAATACTATAAGAAAGAACTTGTAAACTTACAATATTAAAAAGCTTCATTTTTAAAGAGAACTATAGGTCTTTCAAAAGTTTCCACTATGCTACAAAACACATTTAATTTTACTGGCAACATTATAGTGCATATTTCACTGCAACACCTGCTAATGGTGGCGATAATTCAACAGCTATGCAAAGGGAACTCCTTCAGTGCCAGCCATTAAAGCACCATATGCTGAGTTGGGTCTGACTTGATCTCATTTATGCCCTGCAGATTTTCACCACAGTTTAAACAAAATATGAGATGGTTTTAAATTTAAATAATGAAATATGAGAATATCACATCGCACAACTTTGGTTGCAACTGAGGTAGAATATAAAAATCAAGGGAATAAAAAATTCACCACTTCCAAGTTATCAAAAACAATGAATAAAGCCTCACTTACTACTCTTTGCAGTATAAATATTAATCCCTCTGATTAATTAGACATGAAGATCTATCAATTCTTCCTTTGAAATGTATCTCAAATATATTCTTTCTGCTCCATTTCTAGATGGCCACCTCAATTCTACTTATGATTATCTCGAGTCCTAATTATTATAGCTACTTACTATTTAAGCCTGAAGTCTGTCCTCTTCATTTCTGCCTGCACTGTCGTATTTTCTTAGAGGAACATTTTTATTTACTACTTCCCTGCTCAAAAAACTTTCAATACCTTTGCCATTTCTTGGGATAAATTTGAAACTCCTTGGTTAAGTGATCAGGGACCACTATTTTCTGGCTATTCCTACATTTTCCCATTATAATGCAGAATTGTTTTCCTCCTCATTGTTTCAGACTATTCTCCACTGTTATGTCTTGGTGCATTTGCTCATTCAATCACTTCCTAATGGATTATAAGGTTCTCCACTCTCTTCAGCTCAGTTAAACTAGAGTCCCCCTATATGAACAAGCTCAAATTATGTATTCTTTTTGGTAACATGACTAGCAACAATCCTTTCTAATTTTGAATTTCTATAGCCTGTATCCTTCTTCCATTCATTTGTTACATCATCACTGCTTTTAAATAATAGCTGTTTGAATAGATATAGGTTCCAGGAAACAGATATTATATCTAAGTTTCTGTGTAATTCTCAGATCCTACACATACTTATCTTACGTATAACAGATATCATATAATAGATAATGTACATCTTACCTACTACAAGTGGTGAAAATAGAAGCAGTAAGACCAATTAGAAAGTTATTACAATAATCTAGAGGAGAGTTTGGACCTGGGTGGTGACCTTGAGGATGGTGAGAAGCAAGAGAATTTTACATATATTTTAATGGTAGAGAGTACAAAATTGTTGAAGGACTGTATCTAGGCAGTGTGAGAAAGAGAGACGTCAATGCTGCCTCCAAGATTTCTAGCCCGAGCAATGCGAAGAATATGACTGTTATTAACTGGACTATAGTTTGGGATTCATCAGCATATAGGTGGTATTTAAAGCCATGAGACATAAGATCACCCAGATAGTAAGTACAGATTAAAAAAAAAAATAAAGGCACTCCAACAATTAGAGCTCTGAAAGAAGAAGAGGAATCAGCAAAATAAACCAAAAAAAAAAAAAAAGAGAAAGGGGAAAATGTGTCTTATGAAGGACTTTGCTTACAATACGAGAGAAAAAAGATCTTCACTTGAGTGGTAAATTGTGTAAAATACTGATGACAGGCCAAGTAAGATGGTTGAGAACTGACAATGGGATTTAGAAACATGGGTCATTAGTGCCCCTGAAAGAGTGGTTTGATGGAGTGATAGAAGTAAAATCTGATTGGAACTCACGAGAAAAAGTAAAAGAAATTGGCAGCATTTTCAAGGAGTTTTCCAGTAAAGAAAAGAACAGATAAAAGATAGTTGAAAGGGAATATGGGGTCCCAAAAGGATTTTCAGAATCTATGCTCTTAAGCACTCTGTACATCGTTTTATTTAAAAAAACTAAAAAATGGCCATCGAGGAACTCACTAGGTGGTACAGGAGTAGACACAAACAACTAATTGTACTATCAGGTTCGATCAGAACAGTAAATCACTGATTAAATCCTATGGGAGAAGAGAAGAGGGTGAGAAGGAGAAAAGAAAAATATCACAGAGATGTCTTCCAAACTGGGTTTTAAAGAGTGCTTAGATTTTACCGGCCAGAAGCTGTGGAAGGAAAGGGTGGCAGAAATGGGGAGGATATTCCATGTAGCTACAGGAACTTCAAGGAAGCATACCAGATATAAAATTAATTGCATGAGAAACAATGAATAATCCAGTGTGGCAGGACAGTGTGCATAGGCAGCTGTTTGGGGTGCAGAGGGAGAAAAATGGGGTGATAGATTAGGCTGCAAAGGATCTTAGTGACAGATCAGAAATGGCCTTGAATGCCATAATAAGGATATTTTATTGTTTGAATATAAAGAAGAGGAATTATCAAACATTTTGAAGTTAGAAAAGTGACATGACTGTTTCTGAAAGACAAATGATGGGACTTGAAGAACAAATTAAAAGGGGGCCCTCTGTCAGAATAAAGCATGGTCAGCATGCTAAAAAGGAATTAGTATTCATTCTTTTAATAAAAGTGAATGCAGTAGATCTAATTAAAATTCTACTCAAGTGACTCCAACACCACCCACATGTTTTTCCAAAAATACAATTGCAAGAACATGGTTTACATGTAGCACTTTCCAAAGAGGCAACGTTAGTGTAGGAAATTTTAGGAAAATGTGAAGTAGATGTATACCAAATAAATGAAAACAAGCACATGCAGAACAGAAAGTGACAAAATCCAGTTTCTCCATCACTACAAAATACTTATAAAATTAATTATTTTGTGCCTTTTTTATGCTAACACATATTGGAAGACTTGAGATCCACAACATAAAATGTTACTAAAAATGGCAAATGGTTAAGGGAACTCCAAAAATCTTCAAACTACTCTGAAATTTAAAAGACCAGACTTCCTAAGTTCAATTTAGCCACACATTATGGATTAAGTAATCAGTTTTAATTTTGTGAGTCAGTTTTTGTGATCTGGTTTATAACTTTTCTATTTGACTATAGCAAAATCAAAATAAAAATTAAACTAGGTAATATATAAAGGTATCAAAAATTATAATATTTATTGTACAGCTGTATATCATACTCATTATGAAAGAGAATAACTGTGAGTAAAGTGTATATATTTCCCGTGCTCTCTTTCTAGGTGTTTGAAGAGATTTTTACACAATGAAATTCCTTCTTTGACATTTTATTCCCCTTGGAAAGTTTCCAGATAAGGACTAATTATAAAATCAAGAGTTTTCTATAAATTATTGAGTTTGAACATAAATGTTAATGCTCAATCATAATTAAAATTAATAGAGTAAAAATGCTATTATTTAAGTCCATGAAAAAGTTTACTTCTAATCTTAGGCTATGAACAATTACACTTAAACTTTTAGAATAATGTTTCAGATAGTCTAAAAGTACATATCACTTGCACACTATTTTAGTTAACAAGAAAACAAATTAACCAAAATGAGAAAGAAGTAGTAAGGTAATCTTATTTTCTGTCTTTAGCATTCATACTTTTTTTTAAATTGAGGTATAATTGACATATAACGTACTAGTTTCAGGTATACAAGGTAATGATTTGTTTTTTGTAAACACTGTGAAATGATCACAAGTCTAGTTAACATGCATCATAGTTACAAAAACATTTTTTTTTTCTGGTGATGAAAACTTAAGATTTACTCTTAGCAACTTTTAGTAAGCAATATAGTATTATTAATAAATAATAGTCACCATGATGTATATTATAATCCCGTGACTTACTTATTTTATAATTGCAAGTTTGTACCTTTTGACCCTCTTTACCCATTTTGACCACTCCCCACCTGCCTCTTCTCTGGCAACCACCAATGTGTTCTGTGTATCTACAAGCTCGGTTTTTTGTTTTGTTTTGTGTTGTTTTGCTTTTTTTAGATTCTACATGTAAGTAAAATCATACGGTATTTATTTTCTCTACCTAATTTCACTTAGTATAATGATACCCTCAAGGTCCATCCATGTTGTTAGAAATGGAAGATTCCATTCTTTTTTATGGCTGAGTAGTATTCCATTGTGTGTGTGTTTATCCATTCATCCATCAGTGGACACTTACGTTGTTTCCATATCTTGGCTATTGTAAATCATGCTGCAATGAACATAAGGGTGCAGGTGTCTTTTCAAATTAATGTTTTCATTTTCTTCAGATAAATACCCAGAAGTAAAAATTGTTGGATAATATGGTAGTTCTATTTTTAATTTTTTGAGGAACCTCCACACTGTTTTCCATAGTGGCTGTACCAATTTATGCTTCCACCAACAGTGCACAGGGTTCCCCTTTTTCCACATCCTCACCAACACTTATTTCCTGTCTTTTTGGTAGCACTCGTTCTAACAGCTGTGAGGTGGTATCTCATGGTGGTTTTGATTTGCATTTCCCTACTGACTAGTGAGGTCGAACATTCTTTCACATGCCTGTTGGTGATCTGTATGTCTTCTTTGAAAAGATGTGTATTCAGGTCCTCTACCCATGTTTTAATTGGATTGTTTGTATTTTTGCTATTGAGCTGTATGAGTTTTTATGTATTTTGGATATTAACCCCTTACCTGGATATAGGACTTGCAAACATTCAGTAGGTTGCCTTTACATTTTGCTGATCATTTCCTTTGCTGTGCAGAAACTTCTTAGTTTTATATAGTCCCACTTGTTGTTGCTTTTGTTGCCTTTGCTTCTGGAGTCAGA